TAAGAAAATAATAAGTACTAATAATTGTTTGCTATGTCAAATAAATAAAATCTTAAAAAAAAAAAAAAAAGAAAGGGATCTATGTCAAAGGGGTAACAGTGACTAGTTCGGGGTGGAATTACACACAATTTTAATTTTCTCAATAAGAAAATAATAAGTACTAATAATTGTTTGCTAAGTATCTTGTGAAATATTAGGCACCGTTCTAAATTTTATCTACCCATCCATCTATCTGTACATTAAATCATTTAATTCTCACAAAGACCCTATGAACAAAGCTAACCCAATTCTTCAAGGTTACACAGCCAGTAAGAGGAAGAGGTGAAGCTGGGATCCAAACCCCAGGACTGTGGCTGCAGAGCCTGAGGTCCTAACCACGACGCTCTAAGATCATTTTGTTTAACCCATAGGTTCTAAATTTTTATGATGGTCATATCACATATAAAAGGAAAAAAGGTTATTTGAAAAAAATAACCTAACCATAAATTTTAAGAGCTGTCATTGTTGTAGGGAAGGAATATGGATATTTAAAAATTATCCTATTTGTCTAGAGTTTTCAAATTTCCTTTAAGGAATGTGACTTGCTTTTAAAATGGAAAGGGAAAAAAAAACCTCTCAATTAAGGTTAGCCAAAGCATGGTGTCAGTTTTAAAGTCATGTCCAAAAGGACAAGTCCCAAGGACCCTGAAGACTCCAGCCCTGAAGCAGCCAACTATTTGTGGACCAGAGGCAGGGGGAGGGGCCAGTGATAGGAGGGAGGGGCCAGAGGCAGGAGGTGGGGGCCAGTGGGAGACCCCCGTGAACTCAGGAGGTGGGGACAAAAGAAGGAGCCTTCCACACCCTTGCTAGGGAAGCATCTCCATCCTTACCTTGCAGGGTCTCCTCATGCTCTCCCTCCAGGACTCTTCGCTGTTCATCCAGTTTCTCTCGAAGCTCTAGCTCCCTCTCCTTCTCCACCTGGAGGCGGGAGGTGGCCAGCAGCATGAGACTGAGCTTCAGCGCAGCCTTGCTTATTCACACACCAACCCCTGGAGCTTTGTAGAGGTTGGTGATCAGAGTTCCACCCCATTGTCTGTGGGACTGGAACGACCTGAGCTCAGCGGGCACAAGACCTCCAAGACCCAGCAGGTGTGGCTGACCCTGCCTTCTTTAGATCTTAGAAGGGGGCTCCCAGAGAATTGTCTAGGAGAAAGGGATGTAGGAGTCTTCTAATCCTGACACCCGCTCCAGGAAGGAAGTCTTTCTACTGTGTTAGTGTTTCCTGATCTTTCACTGCATACAATGAATATAATGAATTATATGCAAGCAATTACAACTATTTATTCAAAAGATAAAGGACTTCCTTCTTGGTAAAGGAGTAAGAGATACTTAGAACACCTAAATCCAAAGGTGATCCTCATTCTGGCATTGAGCAAGGTTAGCTATGCAGGAGGAAGAGAGAAGGGCCGGGTGTCACCTGGACTTACCTGTTGTGCCCATTTCTTCCTGTCCTCTTTGTGTTGCTGGAGAATTCTGGTTATCTCCTTCTGGCACTGCTCAGCCTCCTCAGATGCACGGAGCTGGACAGCTGTGGCTACATGCGAGGAAGCAAAAAATTCACACAGAGCAGAAGTGAGGCCAGGGCCTGGCGGAGACGCTGTGGGAGACCAGGGCTAAGGGGTGAGAACTCCAGTCTCCACCACAAGAATGGTTTCAGTTGGGAGAGCAACTTCCAGCAGCAGTCACTCACATCTCTCCGGCTTTGGAGACCCTCCTTAGTGCGGAAGCCAGGGGTCTCATTCTGCCCCCTACGGTCTACAGCAGAGCTGGTAACTCACAGGATGGACTCAGTCCATAATGGTGTTATTTGCTCTAACTGATATCTAAAGTAAAAAAAAAAGGGGGGGGTGCCTGGGTGGCTCAGTCGTTAAGCGTCTGCCTTCGGCTCAGGTCATAATCCCGGGGCCCTGGGATCGAGCCCCGCATCGGGCTCCCTGCTTGGTGGGCAGCCTGCTTCTCCCTCTCCCACTCCCGCTGCTTGTGTTCCCGCTCTCGCTGTGTCTCTGTCTGTCAAATAAATAAATAAAATCTTAAAAAAATAATAAGGTAAAAAGAATTTGCTGAGATTTAATAGTTGCTGGGCAACTTTTACTTCATATACAGATTTCCAACTTTTCTTCAAGAAGCCAAAGAACTGGTAGCGTATACCTTCGTGCCAGCCAGGAGCTGAAGCTGAGGCACAGCTGTCTCCCGCTTCGTCTAGGACGTGGCTCTGCCATCGGCCACAGTCACCTGCTCTACCTGCTGGGGCCTGTGAGGGGCTGGGTGTGTGACCCCTGACCTTTAGCATCGCCCCCCCCCCCCAGCTGGAGGCAGAGGGGCTGCTGTGAGTGGGAAGGAGATGCAAACAGGAAGTCTAGCCCTTGCTTAGGGAGACTCCACAACAGGCCCTGCCAATGCCCCTGTGAGTCCAACAGGCTCTGGGTGTGCCCTAAGGCACGACCCGCCCTCTCTGTGCTCAGTTACCCAATGTGGGAAATCGGGATAATAATACCTAGCTCACAGGGCTGTGGAGATGATTAAATCAGGAAACGATGGCAACAGAAATAATACCAGTAAGGTTAAGAGTGCTGAGAGCTTACTGTGCCCAGGAGCATGCCAGCCCTGTCCCAGGTGCCTCACAGGGAATACGCAGTCCTCACAACAACCCACTGTGGTGGGTACTATGTTTAACCCCATTTCACAGATGAGGAAACTGAGGGACAGAGAAGATACGCAACTGGCCCGGGATCACACAGCTCACAGTCGGGGGAGGGGCCGTGAACCTGCACAGTCTGATCCCACGGCAAGCCCTCCTATCACCTTACTCTGCCTGCTGATGCACACAAAGCAGGAAGTGTCGTGCCAGGCATTTAGAGATAGCTCAACAAATGTGCCTTATTGTTGACTGAATGCTCTCTAGAGTCATCGTTGCTCCTGACAAGCATTAGAGGGGTTGGCATTACTGGTCCAGTTGGCATTATTACTGATGTTAGTATTATTATTACAGAGTGCCATAGACAGGGTTGGCAAAGGGCATGAGGAGAAAGGTGAGGAGTGGGGCTGCTAGCCAGGAAGCCGGCCCTGGGCTGCCTGTCAGGACGGGGGTTGGGGGGAGCGAGTCAGTGCCCTGGGTCCTGGGGAACCACAGGGGTCAAGTTCAGAGAACCCCAGACTCTCACAAACCATTTGGCTCAGGGTCCCAAATGTTGGTCCACAAGACCAGTACCCGGACTGGCACCTGCCAGGGAGAAGCTTATAACAAAGACAGATCATCACCACCAGGACAGAGTCTTCAGCCCCACTCCCAGAGACTCTTGTCGAGTTGGTATGCGGTGGGGCCCAGAATGTGTATCTTTGAAGTTCCCCCAGGTAATTCTTGTGCACAGGCAGATTACAGAGCCTCTGAATTCTGATCCAATTGCTTATCTGGTACTTAAACTTCGTCTACAATGGCCCTGCCAGTCTCCAGTCTGTAACTGAACACTTTCCGAGATGGAGCGCTCATTTCATTACTAGGTAGCTCTGGTGGTTTTAAACCAACAATCACACAAACAATCCTTTGAGATTGAACTGAATTCTGCCTGCCTGTTTCTGCCACCTTGAGGCCCTTGTACGGACCTCTGGGTCACACTGAACAAGGCTTATCTTTCTTCTCTATGAGGGTACTTCAGACACTTGGAGAGAACTGTTGTTTTATTGCAACATCTTCTTTCCAGGTAGAACAACCTCTGCTTCTTTAACTGCTCCTTACAGGACTGGGTTTCCAGATTTCTCACCAGCCTGCTCTGTCTCTACTGTACTCCCTCCAATTTTTCTGGATTCTCCTGAAAATGTACTTTCCAGAAATAAACTCAACCCTCCAGGTGTGGCATCAGTAGCCAGGAACAGGCAAGTACAGGTCAGGAGTATCACCTCCCTGATTTTAGACATGATACTGCTATTAATGTAACCTACTTAAGGTCTCATGAGATAATAAAATATCAGGTTTGTTGATAAAGTAGCAAACCTCATGGATGGTGGGGAAGGCATTTATAGGGCTGGCTACTCACCTGTGTCCCCATTGAGGGGACCTAGTTCCTGTGGCTCTGGTCTGGGGGGCTGATCTGGTTTTTGGCGCCTCTGGAAGAAATGAGACAACATTGAGGTGAAGGTAGAGGGTAGGAGGTCGATGTGAGGATGGATGCTGTAGCCGGATCCTTCCAAAGGCAAGACAGGACTGACGTCCAGCTATACCAGACCTTGCCTTGGATCCAGTTACTTAGGCCCCCTCCCTCACTAGCCAAAGGCAGCCCTCCCTCTGTGGGGAAGGGGTTCCCAGAGCAGGATTTCTCATCATTGCCACGGAAACCCTCAGTGGGGAGTTTGATACTGGTTGACCTCTCCTTAGATTTTTGTGGTTTGTGCCACCAACCATGAGGCCCTCCCTGCCCACCTCTTCCTTCTTCCAGCTCTTGGCCAGACCTTTTGCTATTACCCTCACCCCAGTTATAGCTGAAACTTCCCAACCTCTAGTTCAGAGACAATTACCCTTTCCTCTCAGGACCTATGGTTACCACAACTTCCTTCCAAGGAAGTTGATCCTTCCCTGTATTCAGGGCAAAGCATCAGAAGTCCAAGCCATGGGGGCACCTGGGTGGCTCAGTTGGTTAGGTGTCTGCCTTCGGCTCAGGTCATGATCCCAGGGTCCTGGGATCAAGCCCCGCATTGGGCTCCCTGCTCAGCGGAGAGCCTGCTTCTCCCTCTCCCTCTGCTCCCCTGCCCTGGCTCTCTTGCTCACTCTCTAGCTCAAGTAAATAAATAAAATATTAAAAAAAAAAAAAGAAGTCCAAGCCATGGGGGGAGGGGGTGCCTGGGTGGCTCAGTTGGTTAAGCGTCTGACTCTTGGTTTAGGCTCAGGTCATGATCTCAGGGTCCTGGAATTGAGCCCCGTGTTGGGCTCCATGCTCAGTGCAGAGTCTGCTTGTCTCTCTCCCTCCTCTCTGCTTTTCTCCCTCCCTCTCAAATAAATTCTTTAAAAGAAGAAGAAGAAGGAGAAGGAGAAGAAGAAGAAGAAGAAGTCGTTGTCATCCAAGCCATGGTTTTATCATGCTTATTCTTTGTTAGGGGGGTGTTTCGCCAACTATAAGGAGGCAGTGGTACTTACGTCGACAGACGGGGTAAGACACCATACTCAGGATGTACTGGGCACTGTCATGTCTACACTACCTCAGCTAATCTTCAGAATGATCCTGGGAGATATTAATATCCCCAAGTTACAGAATAGGAGGCTGAGGCTGAGTGAGGCAGATTATTCACTAATCAAGTTAGATTAGTGCATACCTGGCAGAGTCAAGGACTTGAGCCATATTTGGCCAGTATTGGTTGAATCTGATCAAAGGAGGCAAGAGATGCCAAAGGGCTGAATCCTGAAGCAGTGTCAGTGGCTCCCAGATTTTCAAGTTTCGTAAATAATATTTTTTAATAGGAGAGTTGACATGGGTTGACAAGCAAGGATGCTGAAAAACATTATCTGCAGACTAACACTATCATTTCATAAAATAGAGGATATTATAATCTTCCAAAATATAGTAAGGAAAGCTCAAGACAGTTCTTCCAGGAAAGGGGAACTGACATCCTTACTCAATGTTATACACACACTTACACCTTTAATTTTCTCATTTCACCCCAGCTAGGTGGAAAGTCAGCCAAGGCCTGGCACTAGCCACTGGACCAGAATCTGGGGTAGAAAAAATAAATTAAGCCATCCTGTAACTTTTTAAGATGTTCTTGGATGTCTTTTTTTTTTTTTAAATAACATCACTTTTTTTTTCTTTTTAAAGATTTTATTCATTTATTTGAGCAGAGGGAAGAGGCAGAGGGAGAAGCGACTCCCCGCCAAGCAGGGAGCCCTATTTGGGACTTGATCCTAGAACTCCAGGACCATGAGTGAGCCAAAGGCAGACACTCAACCAACTGAGCCATCCAGGCACCCCAAGATGTTCTTGGATGTTAACTAGATGTATTGTGGTGATCATTTCACAATACATGCAAATATCTAATCATTGTTGTAGACCTGAAACTAATATAATGTTTATATGTCAACTATCCCTTTAAAAAAAAAGATGCTCTTAAAAAAATGAGAAAAAAAATCTAGATCGCATTTTAAGAAACCTTAAAAGGGGCGTCTGGGTGGCCCAGTCAGTTAAGCACCCGACTCTTGATTTCAGCTCAGGTCACGATCTCAGGGTTATGAGATAAGAGTCCCATGTTGGGCTCTGCGTTCTCAGGGGTCCACGCTGGGTGTGGAGCCTGCTTAAGATGCTCTCTCTCCCTCTGCCCTTCCTCCCTCTCTCCCTCTCTAAAAAAAAAGAAAAAAGAGAGAGACACTTAAAAAGATAAGTCAGCCTGTGGAAAGGCTATGAAAATGTTCAGTTAACTGTACTTTTTACTATAGTCACAGATTTTTAAAAGTACATTATTGCATAAAATTATTAACAATTTCCTGAACTCAAGAATGATTGAAATGCTGCTGGAAAGCATACTTCTGGCTGGGGAAGGAACGTAAGTCAAGGGAAGGCTTCTACAACCTTCTGCTCCTGCCCCCCAGTGCCCGGCACAGAGCCCAGTGCAGCGTGAGCCCCTGGCAAATGGAACAAGACATGGCGCCTCCCCCCGGCCCTCAGTGGCTGGGCATGCCTGACAACTGAGTTCTCCTTCCACCCTGGGAAGACTCGGCTCTCCCCGCCCAGGGCAGAGGGGATGCCTGACCCAGGCACATGTCAGGGAAGCTGTCCAAGCCAAGAATCTGGGGAAGTGACAGGAGCCAGAGTCTCTACCCTGGGCTGTCAGAAGGACGGAGATCAGTGGTTGTCTCATCCCCGTTGCCACCACTGGTTATGCTAATCCGGGGATGCTTTTGTGGGACTGAGAATTCCTGGATTCCAGTCCCGGCTCTCCTACAAAGCTGGACAAATCTCTCCCCTCCTCTGGGCTCCTGTTCCCTCCTTTGCCGAGTAGAGTCAAGAAGGGCTTAGTGGACCCCCGTGGTCTTCCAGCTCTGAGCCTCTGACCTCAGCTCCTCTCAGTAGCACTGACAGGCAGGGTTATTACAGCGAGGAAACCCAGGGAGGTAAGACACGGTGACACTGCGCCTTGATGGCAGACTCAACATTAGAACCAGGTCTCAGCACATTAGAGACTGGAGCAGTGGGGTTAAGAACGTCGGGATTCTAGGGGTGCCCGGGTGGCTCAGTCGGTTAAGCGTCCAGCTCTTGGTTTCGGCTCAGGTCATGATCTCGGGGTTGTGGGATTGAGCCCCACGTCAGGCTCTGGGCTCAGCACGGAGACTGCTTCTCTCCCTCTGCCCCTCCCCCCCAACTCTAGCTCTAAAATCAATCAATAAATAAAAACTTAAAAAAGAAAAAAAAAGAACTCTGGGATTCTAGAATCACCCATACCAGGATTCAAATCCTAAATCTAACACTGTGTGAATGCATGGCCTCTCCAAGCCTTGGTTTCCTCATGAGATTGTTTTAAGGATTAGATGGGATAATGCACCTATAATGTCTGGCATATTCTGAGAGCTCAAACATTGCCTGAGTTTCTTACTTTCTGTTTGAAAAGCAGGGCAAGAACAAAGGCCCTACAGTGCTTTGGTAGATCTCCCTCAGACTGGCCTGAAGTAAGATCATAAAGCTCATGAAAAACTGTCTTCTGCTAAACAACCACCACAGAAAGGTGAAAAACTTTCCTCCACTAACAGCTTCCAGACCACAGGCAGGATGGGACCCTGCGCTTGAGTCCCCAGATCCTGACAAAACCACTCCCAGGACTACGGCTTCCCATGACATTCAAAACTTAGCACAGGGCGCCTGGGTGGCTCAGTTGGTTAAGTGTCTGCCTTCGGCTCGGTCATGGTCCCAGGGTCCTGAGATTGAGCCCCGAATCGGGCTCCTTGCTCCGCAGGGAGTCTGCTTCTCCCTCTCCCTGCCACTCGCCCTGCTTGTGCTCTCTCTCTGTCAAATAAATAAATAAATAAACTGAGGAAAAAAAAGACTTATCACTGTCCTCAGGCGAGGATCCTCCTCTTCCTCCCTGTTTCCTTAATAAATATTTGTAAACATCTTCCTCCAATTACAGTAGTAGTAATAATAGATCTATTTATTCATAATTGGAACATTACATATACTTCCTTATGTTTTATTTTTTCAAATACATTATGAGCTCTTACTACATGGCATTAAATATTCTGTAGATATGTTAATTTTAATGACTCAAATATTACATCCTTGTGAATGAATTCAATCATTAAATAATCTGCGTGAATACTTCAGTTATTTCCATTTCTTAATTTCCAAATTATGCTTTCACTGATCACTTACTGATTTATATGTATTTTTACACATCTGAAACTACTGATTCTGCCCTCCAGAAAGGTTCTACCAATGAACACACCCACTGTTGGCGCACGAGAAGGCCAGTTTCACGGCAACCTTGCCAACACGGAATAGTATCACTTTTAAAAAAACAATTGGCAAATTTGCTGGGCCCAAACCAAACAAGCCTATTGTACTCCTGGCCCCAGTAGGCGCATCCCTGTGTTCGAGACCATCCCAAGGCACTCATCCCAGCATGACGCACCCTCCACAGTTCCTCAGGCTTCCAGGCTGAGCTCACGTCCCGTTTCTCCTCTGTCCCTCCCCAGCGCTGAGTTAGTCCCTGGCAGCTCTGTGCCCGGGTGCCTGTTCGGACACCCATGTGAGGACCTACCTGGTTACCTGTGCTTTTCCAGCTAGGCCAAGGGGCTCCCTGACGACAGGGACCATGTTTGAAACCCGCTTTGAATTTGTCCCAGCATCTGTTATGATGCCCAGAACACTATTTCTAGGAGTGTGGTCTCTGGGTCTCCTGTATTATTAGAAGCACCTGGAATGCTTGCTTAACACAGCCCCCGGGGCCCAGTTCTAGACCCACAGAATCCGAGGGTGGTAGATGTGCCGGGAAGCCCCAATCTGCCGATCTATGCAGGCAGCTCTGTTGCTCACAAGAACCTGAGGACACATAGCCCAGAGCTGAGTAGGAATTGATAAGCAACTACGACATGGAAAATCCCCAGGTTGGGGCTCAGGCAGCTCCCTCCT